GTTATCCGTATGGGCCTCGTTGATACTATACGCCGTCGCTCGCAACCGTATTCACTGAATATCTGGCGTTAATATCAAAAAGCTCAATATATCTAAGCATTTGATTTATTTGAAAGTCGCGTAAGAATTTCACAGTTACTTCTCGTGGATTTAAGTAAGTCTCACTTTATACAGCTCACCACTTTACTATTTGTTTAGTTGTGCGATGCTCGATTTAAATTAATTACGATTGAAAAGTATATAGAATCATATATTATTTTGAGTTGCTAGAAGATAATTTCATTAAAATTTAATCATTTTGTCCACTCTTTTTTTGAGATGTCGATATTATGCGGATTGATTAAGGCATTCAATTTTTGAAAAGAGAGCTTGACAAATTAATTATTACGAGAAATATTTATTTAACTTAAGCTTCGATTTCTTTTGTAAAACATATTGAAGAGAAAATAAGAGTTTATTATTTACTTTTATATACTGTATTTACGACCGTACGTGTGCACAGAACATTGAACTTTGAAATCAATTTTTTTTTATTTTACTGTTTAATTGCTAAAATCATAATATACTAACTAAAAAGGACAAAGTAATTTTCTCAATTCAGCACGACAAATCAATAATGTTTAACGAATAAATTCATTGGATGAAAATGAATAAATAGTAATTAAACAGTATGATACTAATAATTAAGAATAATAACTTAAGAACTTTTATCATACAGTATTTTCTATGAACGGATAGATCAATAATAAAATTTCAAAATTATAAATTATTTAGTTACGGTAAATAGAAAAGTATAAATTCAAAAATTCTTTTAGACTTTGAATACAATTTTTTTTTATAAAATATATGATTTTATATAAAAAATATTTATTTATCTGTAATAAACACGTAGGTAATTAATTATATGATTATATTAAATATATGATGTACATATGATAGAATTAAAAATATAGACAGTCTACTATCACTGTTTTGCCCAATATCCAATAAGTAAATAATATATATATTAAAATTTTTAAATATAAGCGCTTGATTTTTTATTTATTATATTTTGCATTGTATTTTTATATATGATAACTTTAATTAATTTTGTCATACAAAATAAAAATGATTGAATTTTGAAGATTCCGTACTTTTAACAGTGATAAAACATTATGTTTTGTTTCTCTTTGAATAGCTTTTTTTAAATTGGGTTATATAAATATAAAATGAAATTGCTTTTATTCTTCTGCAAGATTATTAAATACCGTATTTTTTATTTTTGACATTTTAGATTCTTATATTTACCTATCATCTAAAATTTTTAGCTTTTAAGTACCGTCAAGTAATTTAAAGATTCTTATAGATATAATATCTAGAATTCTTGTAGAACAATAATAAAGTGATTATTATTAAGAGAATAATTTGGATTAATAAATTCATAACAATATTATTGTTATCCAATGTAATTAATTTTTTATTTAATATTGTAAAATATCAATTTTATATGTATCTATAGAGAATGCTTTCTAATAAATGAAACATATTTTTATTTTAAATATTTGACCTACATCTCTTAAGTATCCGATCGGTATTAATTATTATTAGTTTATCGTCTATTATTTAAGAATAGCTAGTAATTTTCAAAGAAATGCCTACTTATCATAACAAAACCTATCACAAATACATTAAACTCAAGTTCTATTTATATATACTTTGGAAAAACAAAAACAAAACAAGTGCCGCGATTGCCTTTGATGATTGCAACAAGTGGGACTCTCTAGTGGGACACGATGTGCAAGTAATGGAGGACGATTTCTCGCAGAGATTTTGTGGAATGTAAGCGGACTAAACGCCAGAATCAAGGTTTATCTATGCGAGGTAGAGAGGTGGAGAGGTGGAGAGAGAGAGAAAGAGAGAGAGAGAGAGAGAGAAAGACCGGTTGTTGTTGCTCTTTTGATGTGATACATCGTCGTCAATAATGGACTCTAGTGAAAATAGCACGACAAGAATTGCTGTTAAGGTGGTATTGCTTGAGAAGGAATGAAAAGAAAAGGATGAAGAAAGGAATGAAGAAAGGACTAATTCCGACCGACAGGTTATTTTAGTTTTAGTATGTTTCCTGAGCTAGAATTATTTCTTTGTATTTGTAATAGATTTTTTTCAATGACGTACAGCAACGCTTAAAGTATAGAATCACAAAAGAGTGTGATAGATAGAGCAAGGAAGGGCGGAAGGGTCGATGGGAGAGAGGGATGTGCGGATAATGCAAATACAAATGAGAGAAAGGAATGGAGGGGAGATGAAAGAGAGAAAAAGAAAAGAGTAAAATTGATAAAAGAGAGAGAGAGACAGAGTGCTAGAGCATGAGAGACCGAAGAGATAGGGGGAATGTGAGCGATAAGGAGGATGAGAGAGACTAAAAAATAGGGATGCGCACCCTCGATTATTTGTACAAATAGACGACAATGGCGTGATGCCGGTGCGCGTGGGACTATATAAAAAGATGCTTTGAGTCCATTTAGGGTTAGTGTAAGCGAAACGAAATAACGCATTGGGCACACTGATTCCCGATAGACAGATGCGAGGTGGGGGCGTAGTGGTAGTAGTAGCGGCAGCAGCTTGATAAAATTTGCGTAAGTGCGAGCATTGCCGGAGTGAAATGGCGTCGAGGAGAATTATCACGAGGACGCTCCCGATATTGCGGAATCTCTAATGTATAGTAGCGATGGAAAGCAGCCGTGTGGCCTCTTTTCTCCATAAAATCTAGCGATGCGAGCCCTGAAAATTTCCGTTCGCTTTTCTCCGCTGTTTTTATCGCTTATTATATGTTAATGGCAAAATGCTCGCGGTGATTGTCGCGTGCGCATACAAAGTGCAACCGGACTCTTAGATGAGCTTGCCTCGTTTGAAGTTATGTATACTTTCGTTGTTTATTTGTGCTCGGTACACGATTATACGTGAGTGTGACTAATTTCGGTATCATACAACCGACTATGTTTAGTTTCTTGTACATTATTTATTTTTTTTTACCGTAATGTGTCAAACATCGTCGAGGCTGTAAAAGTAGAAATTACATAATAGTTTTTTTTTTATTATCCTTTTTGCTACATTAGGCGTAAAGGTTTAATTTTATGCTTATGAAACTTTTGGTGAAAATTCGCTGCGATTGTAAAAATTAAATAAAATAAAAAATACTCTTACATTGTGAATCGCATATTAAAATATGTGGAAAGATCGACACTTATTTCTAAATGTTGCAGGAATCAGAAGAATTGGAACAAGGAATGGCATTTTATAACTGTAATAAAATATATTTATTTTTTAATGGCAACGAATGTTGATAACGAAATTGTTAAATTACACATCGTCAGAGCGATGAATCTTTATTTCATAGATTGAAATGAGATTTTTAATATTTTTTTTTTCTCTTTAAGATTGATGATGTTTACTTAATGTATTATCCATCAAGGCCCGTATTATCGTAGGTATTATAATCATTTTAGGTTGCGTATGAAAGATATTTGAGTATCGTGCGACGATGTTAAATTGAGTTAAGTTAAAATAAAATGATTCGATACATAATATCGAATTATTTAAATAAACAAGGCTATTTTTTTTTACTTTTGAACAATAATAATTTTAATCGTTCATTGTTTAATAATGAGTAGTATCACGGAATGTTTGTTAAAATGACAAAACCCCGTCTGATAACGGTAGTAGAATATTATTAATTTGTGCTTAAGAAGATTATATATTATATATTACAAATTATTAAGTTATCGAGATTGAATTTTACATAAATTGTATTGTAGTTTTTGAAATAATAAATTAATATAAAAATAATAAAAATCTAGTTGTTGCGATCTGCCTTATATTTCGGAAAACATGTTCAAAGCCGATATTACGAAGTTGATAAAATAAATAGTAACAAGAAGCTTGTTTGCTGTAATAGAATAAAAACTTTACATACAATTACAATAAAGTACAGACTTTCACGCATACATATTTATCGCAGTTTCATATAATATTATGTAATAAAAGTATTATTAAAGCTAAATAATATAGAAATAATGAAAAGATTATAATGCTTCGGAAGAAAAGAAAAAAAAATAGAAAAAAAGCTAATAACAACCTTGTACAAAATTGTAAAAAGAAAAGCATTTAATAGCGTTTTAAAAAATTCACGTATCGTAAAACAGTAAAACACATATTGTCAACAGGTGGTAATGTGGCATAAATGTACTTTTTTTTCATTCCCTACCTTTAAGCATTAATCGCTTATTAACGCTGCTTTATAATAATCGTTTGTTTCACCATGACAGTAAAACGTCCATTATTGTGCAATTCAAGGGTACGCATAGAACGGACAAATATACGTAAACTGTTCGTCGTCAACGTCACGTCGAATGAAATTAGCATCTCGTCCAAGTTGGAGTTATTCGCTTTTCCCGGCAGAGTCGATCTCTGGACACTCGAGGGACATCTAAGGTCAGCGCATGAGTTGTCAGCCGATCGCCCGGTTAGCCAACGATAGCTCGACAAGATCCGCTTTTACGTTTCGGCATAACGATCGAGATTGCTTTTGAGGTGTATCCACTATCACATAGATTCAGGTGTGACATGCCACACTCGAGTGAAAGAAGGTACGGAGGAAAGCTGTTGGAGTGAGCGGCCGCCGTCCTCCTCGCCTGCGCCGATCCGCGGAAAGTCACGGCGCGCGCATTTTGCAAGAGACCTAGAGAGAGGCAAAGTGAGAGAGACAGAGAGAGAGAGAGAGAGAGAGAGAGAGGAATGGGGCAGGCTTGGTGAGAGATACTGCACCAGTCGCTTCGCGCGCTTCCACGCGACAGGAGGCCCTTTTTTATCCGTGCCATCACTGGACGAGTGTTTTTTTTCCGGCGTATCAGTAAATTTTTAAATTGGAAATTTACGATTAAGTGTGGCTTATCGTTCGACTCTTCATCAAAATTTTATTGTGTATTTATTATATGCCTGCTAGCATCCTGACATCTGTTACTTTTATTTAAATCCTTTACCTTATTTACTACTTCGGCGTTTATACTTTGTTTTCCCGAATTTTCCATAAATTTCTTTGTTTTTTTTTTATACCATAGAAAGTTCGATAAAGTTTGTTTCTCTGCTGCTATCGATGTAATTTTCGAAAATTTTGATAAGGAGTTGTCGTGAAAATTGGTTTGGCCCAACGTAAACGGTAGCAGAGGCGGGATATAAAAGAATTCGACATACATGTAAGTTCAATTTAAAAGATAAATTATTTGAAGATGCATTATATGGACGCACAAGTTAATCAAGAATGGAGATAACCATTCATATTTCCAGATTTATTGATGTAATAAACAAAGAAATATCGTTAATCCATTCTTGTTTGTTTTTTCTTTTTAAATATTTCATTTTAATTCGATGTCAATTGGATGGATATAATAACGAAACTATAGCAATCTACTACTTTTTAAATCTCATTTAGCGATTTTATTAACAGCATAGAACATACATGAATAAATATTGCTTTCCGACAGCTCTATGTATTATCTATCTTTAGATTAATAAATATGAATTTCAAATAATATGTCTCTTCATGGAAATAAATTTTAAAAATAATTAGACAAAAATTTGAATATTGAAAATAAAAAAAGATTCTCCATTTGATAATATAAAATATTTAATTGATGTAGATTGTTTTTTTTGAATTTGAAAAAAAAAATTTATAGCTTCGATTGGATCAATTTACATAATTGTTGATTAAAAATTAAAACGTATGATCATAAACGGTATGACCTCATATTCATAATAACAAGAAATTTTGATTATATTTCCCGAGTATTTCAAATGTAGCCGTACTTAATTTAATTTAATTCTATAAATTTAAAAGTTGTATTTAATTTAATACGCTTATTTTACTTTTGCTCATGTTTACAATATATTTTTTCACTACATCACTCTATTTGCAATTACACGAATAAAATGTTTTCTAAAAAAAATATTAGTGTTTTTACACAAATAAAAGAAATTTTATCATTAGTTCGTTTATTATCGTCTGTAATCCAATGAATTTATATATATATATATATATATATATATATATATATATCATTTGGGGATGCTCCACTTTCTTGATTTAATACAGCTCGTACAAGCTTATATGTCATGTTTTAAGTGTTTGAAAATTTTATGTAAATATTAACAGTGTTTCAATGAAATTCGAAGCCACTTTGGTAACTGCAATTCGAAATAAATTAAATCTGATTGGAGTATGGTATTTTCCCAATAAATAATGAATAATATGACAAATTATAAAAAGAGAAAGAGTGGAACAATTGAAAAAGTAAATGGAAGCTTCAAACGCCATACCCTCTTGATGTTTATTAGAAAAAATAGAGATAAATATTCGAATTAAACATTTTACTACTTGAGCTCTTAAGGTACTTAGGCATTGTTCTGTAAGTGGTATTAAAAAAAATTTAAATAAATGCTGACGCTTTAATTTTATTATTAAAAAAAAATCTCTTGTCTTTTATTGGAAATTTATATTTTTACTTTTCATCTTGTAAATTCATTCTTTTCACATTTTTTTTCATTTAATTAATTAATCTGTTTTCAAATACGTATTCTACTTTAATGGATTTTAGCTATTTCTTTTCAAGTAATATTTTTATTTATTCGCGTATTACGAAGGATTTACGCATTTTGAAGAGCAGTTTGTTATAAAATTTAACAATTTCAGATTATTTACGATTCATGTACATTTTTCCATGTTTCAGGTTCTATAATAATTCTAAAGAATGTTTATGTTTATTATTCGTTCTTTATTAATAAACTTTACAAATATCACAATTTAATACGTATTTCAATTTGGATTAAAAGTTTTTTCAATTACATTTGAGTAGTAATTTAAGTACTGGTTTCATATATATTCAAAGAAAATTGAAAAATAATCTATAATTGCTACATAAACCAAGTGATATATTAGTAGTTATATACATAATAATTAAATAATTAAATAATAAGTTTTAGTACAGTTAATAAAGTTTTCTTTATTATACATTTAACTTCTGCAATATGATTAAGTATATACTTTTAACATTTATTCTTTAATAATTTTAAATGATAAATTCACAAAATATTGTGCAAATAATTATATAGGAATATTTAAATTAGAAATTCATCAAATAATCAATCAAATATATCGTTCAATTTAATATTACATAGTACATTGTACTTTAGATAGGTTAATAAAATTATATTTAAATTAGATTGTCATTATTTTTACATTTAGCCTAGACAAATGTATACATGATATTTCAACTTACAACTCAGTATTATATACAATTTATTTTATATTTTTATTTAAATATTAACAATAATTTATAATATGTAGTATTGAATATAGTTTTAACTACAAGTAGTTCAGAAATCGGATCGAACAGAAAATTTATCGGTAAGAATTCATATTAAATATCATGCATTTAAAATATAAAACAATTTTTACATTATTCGTAATAACTTATTCGATAGATTGCAAAGCATACATAATTTTTAATGATATAAGTTTTGAAATTCTGCTAATGTGGTTACCGTTACGAATTTCTATAATGTAATTTCTATAATAAGATAATATCGTAAAAACTGGTACGACAATTTTTCGATATTAAAATTCTGAGGTACTTATATCTAGATAATTATCCGTAATGGAAGAGTTTCATTACTTATTCTGTATAGTTTTTAGCTTAAAAAGATGATCACACGTGATAGTAGAATTATATGCAAATATTCCGAAATTTTAGGAATTTTGATTCTTATGATATTTGGCTATAGAAATATCTGCTTCCTCAATAACGTAGATAAAATGATTGAAAAAGAAACTACGTGAATGCTGACTCAAAATAATCAAGTTGACTGCCTCTATAAATTCGGTAAATTATTACGTACATTTAAATATGCAGAATTTTATAATCCTTTTACAATACACCGTATCAAAATTTAATAAATAACCGCTAATAGTTACATCTGTATCCTAGTATTCCATGAGAAAAAAAATAATGAATGCGTAATTTATAAAAAGAAATTGTAGGAACTAGTTACATCAGGCATCAGAAAGTAGCTAATAATTTACATTTATTCCACTCGTCGCTCAAACAGGAATGTGTATAAGATATTTTTTGCTTTTTGATAATTTAATTAGTATTAACTTTTCTTTTAACCGTAATTCGCTTAGTATTATATATTATTTTTATGGTATTATATTTATGGATGATCGAATTGACTAAATAAATATATTATTTAGTGGGTACTAATAAATATTTTTAAATTTTGTAATTTGGATTTAGTAAATAAATTAAGTGTGTTTCTATAGTAAAGACTAATTCAGTATATTTTTAAATGTATCTAGTGACAAAAGATAGTTATATAGAAAAATTAATAATTTAAAAAATCAAATTTCGTCACTCTTACTCACTAGCAGCAGCTATAAGCAAGTATATACTCATAGTATTATAAAAACTCTAATATTTAATTTGATTAAAATTTTAATTCTGCTCATAAAACAAACATCAAATGATTAATTTTAATGGTATAGAGTAGAAAAAGATAAACTGCCTATTGTTAGCATTGAGTAGAATAATTTCATTAAAATTGGTAAAGTAAAAACTTTATAGAACAAAAACTAGTTATTTCTTTTTTTTTACAAAAAACTAATATTTGCAATGGGAAAAATTCCAAGATAATGCCGAACAAAACGTTGCAAAGTATTAATACTTATATACTGCTTACATACATGCATTATATGTTCATAATTATTATATATAATACATAATTGTTTAAATGCTCGATTTACATAAAATTCTGTCGGATAAAAATATTTTGTAATTAATAAAACGAAAAATTAATTTTTTTTTCTTTTTGTAATAAAACAGTTTTGTACGACCGAGGAGCATTTCAGTGTTGTTTATTAGTAATAATATTTATTGATTTTTGAAGTGTATTCACATTAGATTCTTTGTAATTGAAATATTATAATTGATTTTGTTTGATATTTCATACGAGAAGATCCAAAGAATCGATTTTTTTTTCAAAATTTCATATAGAATGAAGATAGAACTTGAATTTAACGACTAATCACCCCTCCCCCAATATATATATATATAAAACAAAATATATAAAAAATGACTTCGAAAATATGTCTTAGAATATTTCGCGAAGCTATTTAAATTGCAAAAGAGTTTTTTATTATTTACACAAATACAGCTATCCATAACGTATAAAACTGTATGCACAAGTATTACGAAAGTAATTCGTAGCTCGGGATATTTATCAATATATTTTTATGCTGTATGCTTTAAGGGAGATTTGCCTGGTTTTAGATGCATGAATTCATTTCCTCACGTAATTATTATCTAATACAAATTTAATTGATACTTATTTATAATTTATTCTAATCTTCGACAAAAATACGTTTCCTGAAAATCTACAGATCCGCACGACCAAATAAAGAAAAAAAAACTGTTCGACTTTAAGCATTAATCGTTTGATTCGATCGATTAGTAATTATCATTACGTCGAAACAACATTCAGGACGACTCTTCGATTTCGCGATCGGAGGAAAATATTTGCTTTACTCAGTTATTGAGCGAATGCCCATCAAAAGCAAAAGCGTCCGCTACGCGCGTAATTATTTGCAAACCGAAAATCCAAAGTATTCCGCACTCTAGCCGTCCTTTCACCTCCCTACGGCGAGCAAAAATTCCATTCGGCGAATAGGCCTTAACGCCTACTCGCGCAGCACCGTCCGAGCAAAGGTCGCGCGCAGGTGCGCCTATGTACGCGCACGCGCTCCAGGAATATCGTGGGGCAGCGCGCGGGTACCGTTAAACCGGGCGGACGCGGCTCTCTCGAGGAGTCGGCCGACGACATTCCACGTCCTCGATTTCAATGGAGGAAGTGGCAAGGGCGCGCGACGCCGATTAATTACTGAGATCGACGGTAGATATTATTTTTATTTGCTTGGTCGATGGTTTTCGCGGCCCGGCGGCTGACGTGGGAGCAATGGCGGGGCGGGGGGGGGATGATTGAGTTAATCGGCTGAGATGGAACTGGGGAAAGACACTTGGTCGCTCTGTTTTTCTTTAAACTGACCGATGAGCGTCATTTCCTTTTTTTATTTTTCAATTTTTTTTGAATAATTTATGAGGAATTCACTTCCACTGTTTCGAAAGTATGTTTCAAAAATATTACC